CAGTACCCGCTCTTCAGAGTGTGCGATTCTACATCCCACAAATTACACCTGTGCTGGCAAGCCCCTGTGCCACATGAGACATATTGAACACACACTGTAAAACAGTCAGGAGTGGAGGTGTGTGTCTGTGTCTCTACATCAGAAATGGAAATAGGGAGACTAAAATGAACATTGGAAGAACTTTCCAATGTGGTCAATAGACCTAGAGTTGTTCATGATTTTCAAAGAACATCATCTTTTAAAGTCAACAGCTGCTGAGTTCAACTCAGCAGGTACTGCCTAAAATTCCCTGACCTGTGCCAGGCAGATGACCAGACATTTCATTTATCTTTTCCATTGTCAAAAAATTATCATCCCCAGTGAGCAGTTTTTCTGATAAAATTATAGGTAAGGCAGTTTGAGCTTCCTTGGTTACTCTGTGAAGATCTGGTACATCCTAGCTGTGGAGGTGAAATCTTGATGCAAATCTTGAGTCATCTGCATCTCACTGTCACCCCAGCGCAATTAGACAATTCCTGCTCCCAGAAGCTAACAAACTAAGTAAAACTACAAGCCTGTGAAAAATAAAGCCAGTGTTTGAAAAAAACCCCAACAAACCATCCACCAACTACCAAAACAAAAGCCAAAACGGGAACCTGAAATCATCCATCCATATCTAGGTCTCATTTCAAGGAAGGTAAGTGTGCCTGAGTATACCAAATGAAACAGTTATCTGCTCAGGTCAGCATAATTAGTTGTGAAATTGTCTGCAAGCCCCAACAGCAGTAATTTCTGTTCTATGAAGATATCAAGGTGGAGTTAATGTATCAGAGACATCACTTTCCATTTGCAAATGGCACAATCTCCCTACATAACCAGCTTCAGTCAGTCTGCTAGTGTTACAGACTGCTCCTTTGGAAGCAGGCTATAACAAGGGCACTCCTGCACCAAAGACACTGGAATCCAGGGATGCTGCTGTACTGCACCACCTCTAATGCAAACAGAACAAACAGAAGGGGAAGCCCCAAGATACTATAGAGGCTGAGGACACGTATAGTTACTGCAGGAACATTCAGATTATACAAAGTTTTCAAGTGACCTATAATTTCAGCTTGATTAGTAGATTTTCTCCAACTACGTAACTCAGTGCAGTCATTTGTCACTGAGCTCTGGGGAGCCGTCCAGAGGGAAACAAGAACCGTTTCCCTGCTGCAGCCTGTCACCTGGGCAGGCAGCATCTCTCAGCACTTGCACTGTTGTATAAATTACATCCCTCCCAGCTTGGTCAAGTATGTCCATCATTCAGCACATATGTAATCTTCACTATTTTATTGTCTCATTGATGGAAGAATTAGCTGCACAGTGGGAAACAAATTAAGAAAGGACTACCAATTATTTTGCCTGTGTTACTAACTTCTTTAATCCCCTGTAATCTCTTCTAAGGGGGGAATCCTATCTACTCAAATCCCTTCACGGGAGACATATACAACATACAGAAGCCCTACACACCAGGGAAAATAAAAAACCCAGCTACTCGTTCTCCAGAGTATCAAACACACCGGCCATCACTGAAGAATGGATCATAATTTGCAAACAGTATGCAATGGCACTGTCCAAGTGAACCCCAGTTTATCGATTTATTCAGTTGGGAAGGTCATCATCATCTAGGTCGTAACCTCTGTTTCTTCAATAAAGAGCCAACCGCAGCCTAACAACAGGAATCTAGTTTTGTTCTAAGCACCTTGTGGTGTTCCCATCTGCCCAGAAAGAATCTGTTTATCCATTTCAGAAGCTGGTATCAAATGTAGTGAGGTTATTCAAAACCTTTTTCTGGTTTGGAGATGTAATTTGTGGATTTTGAAGCCGCAGGAACCATGGCACAGGATTCTCAATTCACATTAGAGGAAAACCATCAAGAGATAAAACTGTTTAATCTGTTTTTTGTTTGTTTGTTTCACAGAATCACAGAATCATAGAATAGTTTGTGTTGGAAGGGACCTTTAAAGGTCAGCTAGTTCAATGCCCTGCAATGAGCAGGGACATCTTGAACTAGACCACGTTGCTAGAGCCCCGTCCAACCTGACCTTGACTACTTCCAAGGATGGGGCATCTACTACCTCTCTGGGCAACCTGTGCCAGCGTTTCACCTCCCTCACTGTGAAAAATTTCTTCCTTACATCCAGTCTAAATCTGCCCTCTTTCAGTTTAAAACCATTCCCCATGTCCTATCACTACAGGCCCTGCTAGAAAGTCTGTCCCCATCTTTCTTATAAGCCCCCTTTAAGTATTGGAAGGCGGCAATAAGGTCTCCCCAGTTTGGTTTTTTGTTTTGTTTTGTTTATTTTTTCCCTATGTCAACATAGTGAACTGAAGCTGCTGAATCACTTTTGCAGCTTAGGGAAAAAAAAAAAGAAAAAAAAGGGAAGATTCAACCCAGAGAAGCTAGAGGTGATCTAAGTGGTAAGGAAATTACCAAGGCAGTGCCATGTATAATCATAGCTCTTGATAAATGAACTTAGAATGCGGAGCAATTTTTGCATTTGGTTGTTCCCAGTCTCCCGACTTTCAGAAATTATTTAACTGACCTTTCTTTCTTCTCTGGGTTATCTAAACAGCTTTGTCTTTTCCATAATATGTGCCCTAGTGCAGTGTTCTCAGCCTACTGCTTCAAGTTGGTATTATTGCAATGAACACTGCTGGGACTAGCCTTCAGTTAACACTCACATCTGACTAGGGCATTCATATAGTAGTCCATTAGTTTGGTTGAGCTGCTCATGTCAGCATTAAAATGTATATTCTTTAAATTACACAGTTTTTATCTACTTCTCAGTGCAATTCCAGAAGTTTCTAATATACAGTACCTTAGATGGTGTTAAAATTGGCTTATTTTTTGGACATTTGCCATGCAACAAAAAATGAGTTAGATCTGCTAAGGCACTTTATTATTCTCATTTTGACCCATATCAGCCAACATATACTGACTTTCCAATTATAGTCCAAGATGTTTTCTGAAGTCAGTGATTAGATAAAGCCTGAGTTATTTTAGAGACACTTGGGAGAAAAGATGTTTGTAAAGAAAAGTTGTCCATTGTGGGCAGTTTAAAGCAAAACCACATATCATTTATCCACCTGTTGCAAATGTATCCATCAACATGTGTAAGAATCATTAGCATTTTAATAAAAATCTATCAAATTTAATCAAAGTCATGAAAGAAGGTCAAAATACATAGAAATTCTTCACTAAGGTACAAGCAAGACTTCTTTCAACAAAACTCAGCTATTAGAATATTTCTATATCTCGCTACCTGTGTGTACGCATGACTTCATACCCCTCTAATCTTAAGACCTACCATGAGGCAATAAGAAATACTTGATCAGCTCAATATTTGTGCAGATCTACACAATATTAATTACAATATGCTTTGAAATAAAGCTCCATGGTCTATGATTTTACTTCTGGCTGGAGAGGAATAATTACAAATTTGAGTGAGTCCAGTGCATCAGTGTGCAGTAACCATGGAGCAGCTAAGGATGTAAACCCCTGGGACTGAGGTTTTTCACTCAATGGTGACTACATTGTTTTCACTGAGAGTGACCAGGAATGATATTGTTTTCCAGAAATTCACAAAAATGTTACCCTAAAAGTTATTTTCCCTCTTAAAAAAAAACCCCAAAAACACCACCATCTTTATGATGCTTGTGGAATTTTGTGGAATGCTTAAGCTAACAACTCTGAGCTCAAGCTAGAATTTAGAAGAGAATAATACCATATACCAATGCAGACAAACACAAGCTGATTTGCGACTCTTCATAAAAATAGCACTATTTATACACTTAGCTGCCTCTGTGATTTAATGATAGAGCCGCTCACCTCATATGCAAAACTATACCATTATGACTGTGGCATCAATTCATTAATCAAAATGACAGAGGGTCTCATGATCAAACAAGAGAGGTTCTGGTACTTCTTATGACAGCAGTGCTTGTGATACAGCCATACTGGATCCATTTGCGACTGAACTGGAAACCAGCTATTTTCTATACTCAACAGAATTCTGATTTATGATGTGCTTGAAATTACTGTGGATTTCTATTAAAGACAAACACTTGGCAGTAAGGTACCATACTTACCTGTAATTGAGTTATGTAACAGTAGTATCCTCCGTACACCCCACATCCTTTGGGGTTTTTTGTTTTTCAGATATGCAACTTTCAGAGCCAACTTGGCATTTTTTAAGAGTTTGGCCTTTTTCCTGAGGCCCTAAGCAAACCTCAAGCCATGAAGGAGCCGGGAATTTATACAGGCCTGCACAGACTCAATCAGCAGTTTCCTTTCCACTGACATCCACAGGAAGCCAGCATGTATGGAAAGATGGGGGCATACAGACATCAACAATTACAGATAGGCCACTTCTCCAGCATTTGGAAATGAACAGCTCAAGGCCACCTATTTAGTTAGTGTCTTTAATGCATGGGAAACCTCTACTAGCTGGCAGATTTTCTCTCTGAAAAGTCATTCATTTATTCTATTACTCAGCATATGCAATGGTAAAGCAAAGCTGCAAGATGACAAAAAAAGGCCAAAGAAAATTACATTTTAGGTGAAGCTGTACTGTTCAAAGGTGATAACATTTCTAGTTGGTAAAAGTACCACTTTAAAATGTGCTTTGTGCCTCAAATATTTTAGGTGTACTCATAGACCCAGCCGCTAAAATAAAGCTTGGAAAGATGACACACAAGCTCATACAGACTCATGCATACACTTACACATTCTGAAGATGATATGATCTCCTCTAAAAAGGAGAAATTTATGTTCCAAGACTGCAGCCCTCTCATTAATTCATTTCACTTGTGCATTTGTAGCCTGCTCATAAAGACTTACTTCTCGCTCAGTCTTTAGAAACACACCCCCTGGTATCAACTGTTCTGGTTGAGGATTGCTTACAGGACAAAATTACTGACTCTGTCTAAAAAAAAGAAACTGAAAATTTAGGGGACCAAGATACAAAGAGGTGACATACCCTTCCTCAATTGTAACAGAATTCATGATGATGCAGTTTGTTATCTTAACTTTGTCTTTTATGGTACACATGCTGCCAATGACAGAGTGTTTAATGGATGTCTTTTCCCCGACTTGTGTGGATGATCCAATGATGCTGTCTGATCCAATCTAGGGAAGAAAAGAACAGAAACTGGCAAAAGTACCTGGAGCTCTCTGATATTTCTCCATACATGTGTTCCAAACAGCACGTCTCATGCACTCATCAACAAAGCGTACCCTGCTCTACCCTTAGGGATCCTTGGCAGAGCAAAGACCTAAAAATCTGGGGCCCATCTCACAGGCAGAGTTGCACAGTCTTTCCAAGGTCCATTAGCTCGGTAAAACTACATTAGCTGATCTGTCTCTGTAGGCCTTATGCAGTAAGGTAAGCACAGTAAGAACAGTCCTGCTGGTAGTCACTGGTTTCACTAGGGTTCGCCCAGTGGGACCTGTGAAAAGGAGGCTTGAAGCTAGTATTCAACTAACTTGCTTTAGCAAGAGGCAGAGCTAAAATACTGACCCCTTATGAGTGTCAGTCCTTGCCTTCCTTTGGGAGGCAAACTGCTCATCTATCATGAACTGCCATTAGGGAACAAGAGACTGTCTGACTTGGGGGTAAGGTAGAATTTTTACCAAGTATTTTTAAAGACGGAGACTGAAAGGTAGGAACCCATGGGTGAGCCTACAAGGAGGCTCTGGGCTGTTATCACCTATGTTGTAATTCCACGCTTCAGAACTCAGCTTCACTTCGAACAGTGGGACTGAATTTTAGGAAGCAGTTCTTGAAGCAAAGGGCATGCAGACTGTATTGAAAGAGCAGAGACGGGGAAAGGGAACACTTACCATGCCTCTGTCAGTGATCTGTGCAGACCCATGAACCAGTGGCTCTTCCAGACCCAGATTAAGCAACAGCTTGGGAACCTAGATAGGAAAACCCACATCGCAAGTTAACATGACAGTGTTATACATGCATGTTACATACACCACTCAAAGATGGCTTTGGTTTCCATTGCAGCTAGGCATCTGCCGTAAACGTTTTAACTTAGAGGAAAATGTAGGTTCTTGCATTTTAAATCTGCAACCAGATACATGATTCATCATTTTCCCCTTTTGTAAAGGAGATAGGTACACTTCCACTGCGGTGCACCGTATGTCTCCTCTCAACTCAGCTTCCCACCTGTGGAGAAACAGTGGACCATCATCAGCAAGCAGGTTGGCTCCAGCTGAACACAGTGACGTCCTATGCATTACTACAATGTCCAGCATCTGCCATTTCAAACACAGCTCAACGTGTTTTACATCATTCAAGTAATGCAAAAGAGTGAAGTAAATAATATAAAATACAAACAGTAAACTGGCATAAAAAGATGACTATACTCAGCCCACTCAATAAGGTAGCATGCTAAGGCACAGGCAACAAGAAAGTATTTCAGATGTTTAAGGAGAAAGAAACTAAGGTTAATCAAGTGTCTATTCCAGATGGTAGAAAGTTGCAGAAGAAAAGGCTCTTAACGGAGAGAAGGCAGGCGTTAGATAAACAGACAAAGCAGCAATGGTAATAAGAGAGAGACATAGTCCATGAGGTAGCCAAGAACAAATCCATGGAGAGTAATTCTGAACTGGCTCCTCAAAAGAACGGGGAGCCAGCATTGTAGGAAGATGGGATATCACTCCATCATTCCTCGTTTTCTGAGTGAAAGAGCAGCCTGAAGCATTCTGCATCTCCTGGCATCAGGCTGGGGCCAAGGTCACACACTACAGAAGGGATGATGACAGCATGGATGGGGATGGTGGGAGGGAGGGAGGTGGGAGTCTCGCAGCAATGCACAGACACAGTGCTGTACAGAATTACTTGCAGTGGTGATGCAATGTATGATGCATCTTGGTAGGACAGAGATGGCACCCAAAGAAACACAGAAGATACAGAAGGCAGCAAAATGATGCATGAGGGCTAAGAGGTCTGTGTCACGTCAAATCATATGCTTGAGTGAGACGCAATGCATGCCAGGGCTGGTGTGGAGCTCCGCACATGCTGTTGGCCAGCCAGGATGTATGCAGTGACTGTCCATCTGGGAGGTCAGCTGGAGTCTCAGCATGATGAGTGATGGTGTAACTGGATTTGCCTGAGAGGAGGAAAGGGCACTCATTAAGTCTCTCTTTTCTCTACTCAGGCACCTATTTTTACAAAATTCTTAGGAAAGTTTATCTCCAAGATCTCTATTGCTCTGTTAAATTTGGCTGAGAGTTGCCAGCAATTTCCAAAGCTGCTATGAAGGAGCTGCCACACAGTACAATTGTGTAAAACAACTTCCTTAGAAAGCTGGGATAACAAGAGCTGATGGCTAGGGAGTGAATCTCAAGAAGCAGATCCCACAGATCTGAAGAACTTGGGATCAGATCAGAAAAAAATATCTTAAGATCTCAAATGAGATGCTACTTGCAGGAAATTGTTTGGATATTCATAATATGACCAGCCCATTTCCCTTCCAGCATGCAAGGATGGATAAATAGTGCTGTTTTTCATATGATAAGAATTTTCACAGTTGATGCTTCCTTCTGATGAGTGAGATGAGCTCAGATGAGCTCACATCTCTGAGCTATCATTTCAGACTGCCTGTTTTCCCCAGTAGACATTTCCACATCCGTAGCTCTTTACATCTTGAAGATGGTCCTTCTCACTAGAGATGTTTTTTCTTTGTTTTTAAAAAAAGAAGAGTAGGTTAGATCCTTCAGTCCAAGGTGCAGGCGCTACAGAAAACCACCAGCTTACCAAAACACCACAAACTAGGCCAATCCACCTGGATGATGGTAAAGGGATGTTGCCCTCTCCTGACGCATAGCTGGGCAGCCACAACAGATAGATCCAAGAGAGGAACACACACCAAAGCATACCTACAGCATAGGCTGGAAAGATTCCTACTATCCAGCACTGCTCTGCGGGAAGGGAAAAAGATGAGGAAAGGCTCTTGCCCTTCTCAGTGGAAAGGTGGTGTGGTGACATAAATAAAGGATTTTACTGGTCAGAGCAAAGCCCTTATTAGAATCAGTTGATGGTAGTGCAGCCTGAGGGGTGACCCACGAAAGCTACCAGCTCAAGCATTTTGCTCTGAAAAGGAAGGTTAGATAGGGGGCAGGAGTCAGAGGGAGTGCCTGGGTCAAGGGAAGGTTTAAGATGTGTTTGGATTTAATTCATCTTACAAAGAAACTATTTCCTGCTATTGAAGATAACTCCCTCCTGAACCCACCTGCCCACACACAGGCTGCAGGCATCCAGAAACCCAGCTGGAAGTGAAATGATGTGAGTAAAGTGTTTCCTCACCAGAAGGGCAATGGGTTAGGATGCCGTTCCTTCCCACGGCTACTGGACTGGACTGCTACTGCTCTGGGAGCCTGTCCTCTTGGACAGCAAAGTTCTAGATCCTGGCTTTGCAGCGAGGGAATCAGAATCTGGTCTGTAAAGACCAAGATAAGAGCAAACAAGACACCAAAAGTGTTCCTTAGAGACCAAGAAAACAGGTAAAAAAAAGCAGATAAAATTAAATGTGCGTATTTTATGAGGATTAGCAAGAGAAACAAAAAGCAGTGGCACTGAAAAAAGAAACTCCTTTCTCACAACCCCTCATTATGCTCCATTTTATGTTTTACCTCCACATAGTTTCCTTAGAAATTTTACCATTCTGGAAAAGTTAAAAATTCAAAGAAAATCCTTTCCAACACTGAAGGCCCCAATGTGATTTCAAAACACTAATTCTATGTACCACCCAGGAGCAAACACATTTCCTGAACTGACCAAAACGTAGAATATTTAGGTTAAAAAAAAACAAACCAAAAAAACCAACACAAAAAAACCCCACATGGAGTCTGACTGGCTCAAATCAGTAACTTTTTACTGAAGTGGCTGCTGCCAAATGTACACGCACACTTCCCCTAGCAAGCGGTGTTCTCCCTTAACCCTTTGGGCACACTTGTTCTTGACATTCTTGGGAAAAGTTTTCCCTTTCTGACAGCAGTGCTGCCTCCCTCATGTCCCTAACCTCAAAACAAATCGCTTTATTTCTGTGCTCCTCTACAGGCACCAAGGAGAAAGAACTCCAGTGTGTGAACTCACTCTGCCGTGCTGCAAATCTCATTTTCATAAATTCATCCATTCATTTTATTAAAAAGAAATCAGCTTAATCCAAGAGCAAAGGCAAGGCAGTGATCACTTCTAGGATTCCTAATACAACTTTATTGCTCTCCCAGCCCCA